AGCCCAGCCATTAATATGGCTAATGGCTGAATGCGGTTTCTGGGACCTCTCCACGGTGATCCTTATCCACATGGTGGCACTTTGTGTCATCAGTTGTTTATCGCTTGTGTGATGTCCTGGTGGGGTAAAAGTACAATACAACAAACCTTCACACGTCATACATACATCAGCATCGAGGTTCCATTCACAATTGATCCCTAATTACAGAAGGATAGCTACGACAACCTTCAAAGCTCTACCTCGGTGCCAGTCCTGACCTACGGTGTTAGTCATGAGCAATGACAACAGCACACAGAAGCCAGCCATGGCCAAGTCAACAGCACACAGAAGCCAGCCATGTCCAAGACAACAGCACACAGAAGCCAGCCATGGCCAAGACAACAGCACACAGAAGCCAGCCATGGCCAAGACAACAGCACACAGAAGCCAGCCATGGCCAAGACAACAGCACACATAAGTCAGCCATGGCCAAGACAACAGCTCACAGAAGCCAGAAATGGCCAAGACAACAGCTCACAGAAGCCAGCCATGGCCAAGACAACAGCACACATAAGCCAGCCATGGCCAAGACAACAGCTCACATAAGCCAGCCATGGCCAAGACAACAGCTCACATAAGCCAGCCATGGCCAAGACAACAGCTCACATAAGCCAGCCATGGCCAAGACAACAGCACACAGAAGCCAGCCATGGCCAAGACAACAGCACACATAAGCCAGCCATGGCCAAGACAACAGCACACATAAGCCAGTCATGGCCAAGACAACAGCTCACATAAGCCAGCCATGGCCAAGACAACAGCTCACATAAGCCAGCCATGGCCAAGACAACAGCTCACATAAGCCAGCCATGGCCAAGACAACAGCACACAGAAGCCAGCCATGGCCAAGACAACAGCACACATAAGCCAGCCATGGCCAAGACAACAGCACACATAAGCCAGTCATGGCCAAGACAACAGCTCACATAAGCCAGCCATGGCCAAGACAACAGCTCAAAGAAACCAGCTTCAGGCCTCATAAATGAGATATCTGAGAAAGGTGGTCCAAGTGACAAGAAGGGACAAAGTCCACAATCAGACAAAACGTCAAGATCTTGATACCCAGACCTTACAAACCCGAATGGATCTGTCACAGTTACAATAGATTGGTAAACAGAATAGGAGAATGTTGGCCACCGTGGAAGGCATGGGAGGCTAAGAACCAGGGAACCAGACCTCCAGGACGACCCAGGGTGCGCTGGAAAGACAACATCCAACAGTCCCTAACTGACAGAGTACTGGAATGGAACAAAGCCAGAAAGAAAACTGGACTCGGCGGATTGTGCGGATGAAACCTCTTATTGGTTCAAAGAAGGTGATTACCAGCAGGCTCTGTGAAGAGCTTCGAGCAAGGCAGGGCACTTGAGACACCTTGGTCATCCACTACACCTAGGTCTATTACCAGCAGGCTGGTCTGTGAAGAGCTTCGAGCTAGGCAGGGCACTTGAGACACCTTGGTCATCCACTACATCTAGGTCTATTACCAGCAGGCTGGTCTGTGAAGAGCTTCGAGCAAGGCAGGGCACTTGAGACACCTTGGTCATCCACTACACCTAGGTCTATTACCAGCAGGCTGGTCTGTGAAGAGCTTCGAGCAAGGCAGGGCACTTGAGACACCTTGGTCATCCACTACACCTAGGTCTATTTCCAATCGTCTCGTCATTGTCCTGCCATTGGATCAAGATGGACACAGGCCAGAGAGTAAGGTCGACGAATTGCGCAAATCTTTCTCACTTAAATCCAAGTCCTTGCGCAAGTCATTTTCATAAAGCTATCAGCATCATCAATCATTTTCAAGTTATGTAACGATGGGTAAGCGACAGAAGTGGGTTACTTTGGCAGCTGTAGCCGCAGACCTGCACACAGGTGGCTCAGGCCATATGGTCGCTGTCCACTGATAGGAGCAGTGGTGGACTTTGGCAGCCTCCTGAGCAGCCTTCTTTAGGAAAGCACTGCTCATCTCCATGTCACAAGAAAGGGGCTGGAAAAGGTGCCCTAGAAACTGCCTGCTCCACTAAAGTTCGGCTCGTGGAACCTGCAAATTCTCCTAGACAGTTCTGAAGCCAGTATGCAGCACATTATCAACAGATTTTCTGAAGCCTGTACCAACTTCAGGCTAACCATCAACACTGATAAAACTGTTGTTACCTATCAACCGGCTCCCAGAAATTATTACTGTGATCCCACTATCATCATAAATGATCAAAAACTAAATGTAGTCGGCAGATTCACTTATCTTGGCAGAACCCTATCTCACAGAGTCGACATCGACGATCAGATCATTTCTAGAATCGCAAAGGCCAGCAGCAGTTTCGGCATACTTTATACCGGTGTCTGTAACTGTTTCTAATAGTGCTCTATGCTTGCGAAACATAGACTGTGTATCAGCGCCATGCTAAAAAGTTAAATCAATTTTATATAACCTGTCTTAGAAAGCTGCTCCCAATTACTGTGGTTCTTGATAGGGCGAACCTGCCTAGCATCCACAGGATTCTGAAGAATTGTCAGCTGCGTTGGGCTGGTCACCACATGCCAGAATATCACCTCCCAAAGAGAGTTTTTTATGGCGAGCTCCAGCAAGGAAAGAGCTCCAGCAAGGGAAGAGCTCCAGCAAGGGAAGAGCTCCAGCAAGGGAAGACCTCCAGCAAGGGAAGAGCTCCAGCAAGGGAAGAGCTCCAGCAAGGGAAGAGCTCCAGCAAGGGAAGAGCTCCAGCAAGGGAAGAGCTCCAGCAAGGGAAGACCTCCAGCAAAGGAAGACCTCCAGCAAGGAAAGAGCTCTAGCAAGGGAAGACCTCCAGCAAGGGAAGAGCTCTAGCAAGGGAAGAGCTCTAGCAAGGGAAGACCTCCAGCAAGGGAAGACCTCCAGCAAGGGAAGAGGTCCCAGGGAAGACAGAAAAAGCGCTATAAGCACACTTTCAAGACTGCTCTTAATTCTTTTAGCATCAACACAGCGACGTGAGAGGCTGCTATGCAAGACCATTCTTGATAGTGAACGTACTTTAGGCATGGTGTATCGGCCTGCTAGGCAGCAGTGGTTGCACTGGCAGAGAAACAGAGAAACTATGTCAGCAGAACTCTAACAGACTGTGCTGACAACATCAGTAAAACTCTAGCAGATCATGTGGACAATATCAGCAGAACTCTAACAGACCATGCTGACAACATCAGCAGAACTCTAACAGACCATGCTGACAACATCAGCAGAACTCTAACAGACCATGCTGACAACATCAGCAGAACTCTAACAGACCATGCTGACAACATCAGCAGAACTCTAACAGACTGTGCTGACAACATCAGCAGAACTCTAACAGACCATGCTGACAACATCAGCAGAACTCTAACAGATCATGCTGACAACATCAGCAGAACTCTAACAGACCATGCTGACAACATCAGCAGAACTCTAACAGATCATGCTGACAACATCAGCAGAACTCTAACAGACCATGCTGACAACATCAGCAGAACTCTAACAGACCATGCTGACAACATCAGCAGAACTCTAACAGACTGTGCTGACAACATCAGCAGAACTCTAACAGACCATGCTGACAACATCAGCAGAACTCTAACAGACCATGCTGACAACATCAGCAGAACTCTAACAGATCATGTGGACAACATCAGCAGAACTCTAACAGACCATGCTGACAACATCAGCAGAACTCTAACAGATCATGTGGACAACATCAGCAGAACTCTAACAGACCATGCTGACAACATCAGCAGAACTCTAACAGATCATGTGGACAACATCAGCAGAACTGTTTTAGACCAGGCCAACTTGGGTCAGGTAAGAGACATATCAACACAAACATGAACAGTTAAAGGTACCTTCTGTCTACAGACTGGTACAACTGTCTACGTACGTCTGTTTATGTCTACTGACTGAACACGCCGGTACAACTGTCTATATTCTTATCTATGTCTACAGACTAGTAGAAACTGTCTACATACCTTGGTCTCTGTCTACTGACTGTACATATTGGTTCAACTGTCTATGTACATCTGGCTATGTCTACTGACTGTACATATTGGTACAACTGTCTGTGTACTTTTATCTATGTCTACAGACTGGTACAGCTGTCTATGTACCTCTGTCTATGTCTAAAGACTGGTACAGCTGTCTACACACCTCTAACTATGTCTACTGACTGTACATATTGGTACAACAGTCTGTGTACTTTTATCTATGTCTACACACTGGTACAGCTGTCTATGTACCTTTGTCTATGTCTAAAGACTGGTACAACTGTCTAAACACCTCTAACTATGTCTACTGACTGTACATGTTGGTACAACTGTCAGTGTACTTGCATATACAGCTGTGATAAATCTGTCTGGAATCAAGTTCTCACAAGTGCTGCAGTGACATTTCTCTACCACACCAGCCTGACACATAGAAGGTGAGCCCTGGATATACAAACACATTAGTTCAATTGGGGAAGCTTCGGCTCTATCCATTCCAGGATGAGACAACACTCAATTTGGCTCCACTAAACAAACTGATAGTTCTCTCTGCCAGCCTAGGGAACTAAACAAACTAATAGTTCTCTCTGCCAGCCTAGGGAACTAAACAAACTAATAGCTCTCTCTGTGTCAACCTTAGGAACTAAACAAACTGATAGTTCTCTCTGCCAGCCAAGGGAACTAAACAAACTAATAGCTCTCTCTCTGCCAACCTTAGGAACTAAACAAACTGATAGTTCTCTCTGCCAGCCTAGGGAACTAAACAAACTAATAGCTCTCTGCCAACCTTAGGAACCAAATAAACTGATAGTTCTCTCTGTGCCAACCTTAGGAACTAAACAAACTGATAGTTCTCTCTGCCAGCCTAGGGAGCTAAAAAAAAATGATACTTCTCTCTGCCACCTAGGGAACTAAACAAACTGATACTTCTCTCTGCCAGCCTAGTGGAACTAAACAAACTGACAGTTTTCTGTGCCAGCGTAGCGGAACTAAACAAACTGATAGTTCTCTCTGCCAGCGTGTAAGTTGGAGGCCTGGTAGTTGGGACCAGAGTCAGAGTCCAGTGTAAACTTGGATGTCCAATCAACCTGCAGAGGTCGCAGCAGGCCACAGCACTTCCAGTTCATGAGGTCAACCAAATTTTTCAGTACTCCACGGCTGCAATAAGCAATTACAGATTCCTGAGAACTAGTCCTTTTTTTACATGAGACACAAATATACAAACACATTTCTCACAAACAGTAAAAACTCCACGGCTGCAATAAACAATTACAGATTCCTGAGAACTAGTCCTTTTTTTTTTTACATGAGACACAAGTATACAAACACATTTCTCACTAATAGTAAAAACTCCAAGGCTGCAATAAACAATTATAGCTTCCTGAAAACTAGTCTTTGTTTACATGAGACACAAGTATACAAACATATTTCTCACAAATAAAAACACTTTTTAAACAATTGATGAATATTGGGGTCACGTTTCTCACAAGTAGTAAAAACTCCAAGGAGGAGCGCGCACAATAGGAGTCCTCCAATTGTCAGAAGAGGTCCCTTTTCTCTGAGTGTTTCAGTCTCTCTACCTTCCTGACACTCTCTAGGGCGGGCCAACACAGATATTCTAGCCGCATGAACAAACTGTGCTAAACATTTCATGCTGAAGGGGATAAACAAATCATTCGCTGAAGGACTAGATTCTTGAACACGATGAGGGAAAATAAAGAATCTTAACAACTGACACAGAACTACTGGGGAATGTTTAGATTAAGATGAGCTTAAGTTGACAGGTTTGCTCTACCCGATAGAACACTTTAGTCTCCATGCAATGAGCCCCAAAGGATATCACAGAATGCAATTAGGGATATATTCTCTGAGCTATCTAGGCTGAGGTGATGATACCCTGTAGATATAATAATGATACACTAAATGATAAACTAGATAAACTGATGATTCACTGTAGGTAAACTGATGATACACTGTAGATAAACTGATGACACTGTAGATAAACTGTCCACATGGGTTGTGAGAAAGAATGTAAACCAGGACATGGGATGTACCAGATTGTGTTTCTGTTTATGTATGAAAACAATGATTGTGGTCAGGAGAGCTGGTTACATTCGCTGGCACTAGCAATGACCACTGCAGAATCATATCTGCGGGAGCTGGAATGAATTATTTAACAGAGAAGAGTGAAAAACACAAAGAAACAGACAGGACAGGGAAGTGGACACGGCGGTGAGCAGGACAAAGTAGTCAAAAAGGCAGAAAGCTCCAGGGACAGCACATTTAGCTGATGGTCCTCAGATGTTTATTTAGCTGGCAGACCGGTGGAGGAGGGGGGGGGGGGGGGGGTACTTGACAGACAGAGATGCCAGGCAGAGTGCTGGTTAAAAGTCTACGCCAGCAAAAACTTGAGAAAAAGAGTAAAAGTATGCAATATAAAAACTAGACAAACAAAACAGGAAAGACAAAGAGCTTACTCAGTAGAAATAGTAAAAAAAAAAATGGGTTCCATAACAGCTTAACGAGACTGAAAATCTGCTAAAGAACTGTAGAAGAACTTCACTTGCATGAACTGCTGAACACTGCAGGAACTGCTGAACACTGTATGATCTGTTGTATGCTGTATGAACTATTGAACACTGTATGAACTGTTGAACATTATGAACTGTTGAAAGTTTATGAAGTGTTATTGACATCAAAAACTAGACACACAACAACTGTGCTCATTCTTGAGATACTTCCCTGAATGCTGTGAATGAGCAGAGGTTGAATAAGCTATCAGGCCTGATCAAAACGACAGTTGCTGAAGCCACTGAGAACATCTTCTATATGAACAATGCCAACAACCGCAAAAAACACACTACTTCCCTTGCCATCTTCAAGATAGAGCTTACTTCCTGTGAAACTGAAGGCAAACTCTGCCACAATACAAACAAGCTCCTTAAAACAACATCTGATAAACACAAATATATACAAACAGGCTTTACTGAGACACTAGAATGGTACAGCACTATTTTTACAACAGATTCAGCCAATGTGGTTATGTTACAATACTTCACAACATATATCTACATGACATACTTTACAAATGTATGCAGTGTATGCAAACACGTATTGTGAAGTTCAGTTAAACTGGAGTGCTGTTGGGTAGACTTTATGTTAACACAGGGTAGGCAATAAGCCATGATTAATCAGATGTAGAAGAGTAAAGACAGGAACCTGGTTTGACCAAACAAGACATGGACATCATGACAGAACAGCAGAATCACCAGGCTGCTGACAAGGAATAAAGGGTTGACAAGTGGACAAGATCAAGTTGAACAAGCCCAGCAATCATATGTGACTGCAAGCTTTGTGGGACTATGTACAATTTCCAGGAACGATTACTGGCTACAGCAACAAGGTGGAGATGTCAGAGTTTTTTTACATTTCCTATATCCTAGCTAGAGCTATGAGTGTTAGACATCCAATAAACTGTGTTTGTTCATTGATCCCAAGTATTTGGGTCAGTGGTTCCCCATGTGGGTTCGAGGGCCCATTGTTGGCCCGATAACCAGCACGTCATAAAAGATAATTAATTAGCAGTCTGTTGACGTCACACGTCTTGATGATGACCACATCACCCTCCAGGTCCTGACTGCTCTATCAAATACAGGTCTAGCCCTATATGCCTCAAGGCATTGTTTATTTTATTTTACACTGAATGTATAAAAAAGAAAAAGGTGAGTGGTTAAATATTTTAACTGTAGATGATATTCTGCCTGGACATGACATTCTGCCTGGACATGACATTCAGACTGGACATGACAGTCTGCCTGGACATGACATTCTGCCTGGACATGACAGTCTGCCTGGACATGACAGTCTGCCTGGACATGACAGTCTGCCTGGACATGACAGTCTGCCTGGACATGACATTCCACCTGGACATGACAGTCTGCCTAGACATGACAGTCATCCACACACCCAGACCAGTGACCACAACCTTCAAAGGCTGGGGAAAAAAACCAGAGGAGAACAAGGAGTGATAATGAACCTTGGCTTGAACAACTGTGTCCACAACCTGCAGGTGAAGTCATTGTTAACAGATCTGGGAATCTGCTGCAAAAGTGGGTCATGACAACATATTCCAACGTATATCTATAAAACACAGATTATAAACATTATGGAGACCATACATATCTGGGAATCTACTGCCAAAAGTGGGTCGGGTCATAACAACATATTCCAACTTTTATCTATAGAACACAGATTATAAACAGATCTGAGGAAGTCAGGCAGGAGGTAACTACCAGCAAACTATACCGTTCTGTCTGAGGAAGTCAGGCAGGAGGTATATACCAGCAAACTATACCGTTCTGTCTGAGGAAGTCAGGCAGGGGGTATATGCCAGCAAACTATACCGTTCTGTCTGAGGAAGTCAGGCAGGGGGTATATGCCATCAAACTATACCGTTCTGTCTGAGGAAGTCAGGCAGGAGGTATATACCAGCAAACTACACCGTTCTGTCTGAGGAAGTCAGGCAGGGGCTATATGCCATCAAACTATACCGTTCTGTCTGAGGAAGTCAGGCAGGAGATATATGCCAGCAAACTATACCGTTCTGTCTGAGGAAGTCAGGCAGGAGATATATGTCAGCAAACTATACCGTTCTGTCTGAGGAAGTCAGGCAGGAGGTATATACCAGCAAACTATACCGTTCTGTCTGAGGAAGTCAGGCAGGAGGTATATACCAGCAAACTATACTGTTCTGTCTGAGGAAGTCAGGCAGGAGGTATATGTCAGCAAACTATACTGTTCTGTCTGAGGAAGTCAGACAGGAGATTTATACCAGCAAACTATACCGTTCTGTCTGAGGAAGTCAGGCAGGAGGTATATGTCAGCAAACTATACCGTTCTGTCTGAGGAAGTCAGGCAGGAGATATATACCAGCAAACTATACCGTTCTGTCTGATACACTCTGAATGGAGATGATTGAGAAATATTCTGCTGACTGACAATTAACTCCATCTACAACAATGATGTCCCCAAGGCTTCTGTCATGGGCTGACATCTGGCAGTATAGTAGAGTTTTAGATGATGTGACAGAACAGCTTTAGGTGACGTGACAGAACAGTAACGACTTTCATGGACTGATATATGATTCTGCAGTCCAGGAATGACATGTGACAAATCAGCACTTACTGAAATGGGCTGATAATCTTGGGCTTGGAGTGGTGACCATGACTGTGTCCATGATTGTGTCCATGTCCACTACTAGCTCTGTCACTACAGCCATCAGACTGCCCACCACAATCTGCCCCACTTTCCATCTTCTGCATGTGCCAGTACCTAGCCTGGTTCATCCTCTCATTGGTTGTCATGGCAAGCCACATGATCTGAAGATGCAACAACAATACATCAACATCAGCTAGCCAAGTAACATTAATGTCAACACTATATGTCACAGATTGAGGTCTTGGTATCACGGAAAAGTCCAGAGACAAACTTCATCATTTCATCAGAAAATTCAACAGAGAAATTCAGTTTCCTTCATGAATTTTTATAATTTCTATGAATTTTCTGGATATCAGTTTGCATCAACTTCGCTTTCTTAACTACTAATACCTATTTAAAACCTATGGGATCCTAAAGCTATTTTCTACATACATCTTCTCAGCCAATTGCTTGCGAAAATTCTACACCATTCTTGCAACTTACTGCAATATTTTTTTATCATGCTCACCATTACACTGAACATGTCACACAACAGAGTTATCACACAAAAGATTTGTCACACAATAAAAATGTCAAACAACAGAGATAGCACGCAACAGACATATAATACAACAGACATGTCAAACAACAGACATGTCACACAATATAAACGAACGAACAACAAACAAACTTTATTATTTTCAAAGGGTTACAAATTGGGCCCGCAGGCCCATCTGACATTCGGCCCTTCGAAGCACTCATTTTTCAGAGTATAAATGTAATACAAGAGACATGCAACGCAACAGACCAATTATAAAACAGACATGTCACATAATAAAAATGTCATACAAAAGACAAATCACACAACAGGTATGTTACACAACAGACAGGTCACACACAACAGATATGTCATAAAAGTTGTATGTCACACAACATACAAGTCACACAATAGACAGGTCACAGAACAGGTATGTCACACAACAGACAAGTCGCACAACAGGTATGTCACACAAAAGACAAAGATACAGGTCACACAACAGGTATTTCATACAACAGACAGGTCACTTAAACAGACATATCACACAATGTGACACAGTTGTGTCTTTCACATCCCCCAAGAATAGATGTGCCTAATTCGGAACTCCCCAAGAATAAATGTGCCTAATTCGGAACTAAGTATAATATAGATACTGGTTGTAAGTTGATTGTGTTTAACAACACGGCCAGTGATGAAACAGTAAAAGGTTATAATATTTGTTTATTCAACAATATAATTTCAATCTTTGCAGAACGAATATATTCCCTTTATGCAACAGTATAACATTCTGGTATCTTATTCTGGCTATTGATATATCTGACGATAAGTTCATTCTTCTCTCTAGCCAAGCAAAACCAAAGTTTCATATATCTTCTAACGAAGCAGAGTTTTGTCAACTCCCCTCTCAAGCATCTAGGCACTGACTCCCCTGGCTCTTCACCCCCGCTTCCTCTCTCTTCCCAGCGTGGGTTCTCAACCACCATCTGTCACCCTTCATCCTGCTCTATGTTATCATCTTCAGTTGGACACGTGCATTCCGCGCTCATCTCGACTTGTTGACCTCATTCTCTCTCATGCATCTTCTGGTGCTCTGTCCTGTACGTCTACATCCGCCACTGTCAGATGTCACGGTTTTATTTGGATAAACGTACTCTATTCAACCCAGGTTAAAGTGCAACTGTTCCTATGTACTTTCCCAAAGGTTACTGGTTTATCTGTTTTGCCTTGTCTGACCAGCGTTCTAATCACTGTTTTCTATCATGCCACCCAGTGATGGATTGGCATGCATTGATGCCGGTCTAATTGTATGCATTCTTCATTTAACCCCTTCCTAAACTCTATTTCATCACAACAACAGCTGAAATCACATAACAGACATGTCATAAAAAAATGACAGCACTAAACCTGGTACAACTGGCAGGAGAAGAGGGAGACAACCCAGACCAAGTGAAGCAGAGCATTGAGAGCAATCCAGGCAACCCAGGGCGACCTCTTCCAGGTTTTATAGATGATCCCTGTGATGCCATCCTCATAGAAATCAAAGGGACACTCAATTTGCCAGACTGGGAAACAGGAAAAACAACACTATAACTGTTTAGAACTGGTGGATTATATAGCAGAGGGCAACAGTAGTCTAAATATCCCCTGGTTGTCTGTGCTTACATTCTGGTGAGTAAAGTACCCATCAATATCCCCTGGTTGTCTGTGTTTACATTCTGATAAGTAAAGTACCCATCAATATCCCCTGGTTGTCTGTGTTTACATTCTGGTGAGTAAAGTACCCATCAAATTTCCCTGGTTGTCTGTGTTCACATTTAGGTAAGTAAAGTACCCATCAAATTCCCCTGGTTGTCTGTGTTTACATTTAGGTAAGTAAAGTACCCATCAAATTCTCCTCGTTGTCTGTGTTCACATTTAGGTAAGTAAAGTACCCATCAAATTCCACTGGTTGTCTGTGCTTACATTCTGGTGAGTAAAGTACCCATCAAATTCCCCTGGTTGTCTGTGTTTACATTCTGATAAGTAAAGTACCCATCAATATCACCTGGTTGTCTGTGTTTACATTTAGGTAAGTAAAGTACCCATCAAATTCCCCTGGTTGTCTGTGTTCACATTTAGGTAAGTAAAGTACCCATCAAATTCCCCTGGTTGTCTGTGTTCACATTTAGGTAAGTAAAGTACCCATCAAATTCCCCTGGTTGTCTGTGTTCACATTTAGGTAAGTAAAATACCCATCAAATTCCCATGGTTGTCTGTGTTCACATTTAGGTAAGTAAAGTACCCATCAATATTCCCTGGTTGTCTGTGTTTACATTTAGGTAAGTAAAGTACCCATCAAATTCCCCTGGTTGTCTGTGTTCACATTTAGGTAAGTAAAGTACCCATCAAATTCCCCTGGTTGTCTGTGTTCACATTTAGGTAAGTAAAGTACCCATCAAATTCCCCTGGTTGTCTGTGTTTACATTTAGGTAAGTAAAGTACCCATCAAATTCCCCTGGTTGTCTGTGTTCACATTTAGGTAAGTAAAGTACCCATCAAATTCCCCTGGTTGTCTGTGTTCACATTTAGGTAAGTAAAGTACCCATCAAATTCCCCTGGTTGTCTGTATTCACATTTAGGTAAGTAAAGTACCCATCAATATTCTCTTGTTGGTATACACTGAGACAGGCAAAGGTGACAGATCAGAGAATTTGAGTCACATGTGACAGAGAAGATGGGTTCCATGAGACATATATAACAAACTAGCATATAAAACTGATGCAATTTTGCCAAATGGATTGTTGTGTAACTTCAGAATACAAGAGTTCAGTTAATTACATATAATGGACTGATAAAAGTACATACAGTAGACACAGATACAAGTACATACAGTAGACTCAGATAAAAGTACATAAGTAGACAGACAAAACTACACACAGCAGACATTAAGTAGACAGATAAAAGTACATACAACAGACACAGATAAAAGTACATAAGTAGACACATACACAGATAAAAAATACATACAGTAGACACAGATAAAAGTACATACAGTAGAAACAGATAAAAGTACATACAGTAGAAACAGATAAAAGTACATACAGCAGAAACAGATAAAAGTACATACAGTAGACACAAATAAAAGTGCATACAGTAGACACAGATAAAAGTACATACAGTAGAAACAGATAAAAGTACATACAGCAGACACAGATAAAAGTACATACAGCAGACACAGATAAAAGTACATACAGTAGAAACAGATAAAAGTACATACAGTAGAAACATATAAAAGTACATACAGTAGAAACAGATAAAAGTACATACAGTAGACAAAGACAAAAGTACATACAGTAGACACAGATAAAAGTACATACAGTAGAAACAGATAAAAGTACATACAGTAGAAACAGATAAAAGTACATACAACAGACACAGACAAAAGTACATAAGTAGATAGATAAAATTACATACAGCAGACACAGATAAAAGTACATAAGTAGACAGATAAAAGTACATACAGCAGACACAGGTAAAGTACATATAATAATAGACGAAGATAAAAGTATGTATAGTGGACACAGATAAAATACATATAAAAGATAAAAAGATGGACAAAGAGGCATTACAGAAAAACAACTGATAATACTCACAACTGAAACATCCATAGAGACAAAATAGAATCATTCCCATCAGAAAGAAGAGGTAGGCAATAAAATAGCGATGATTGTTGGCTCCTGAAAACAAACAAAAATTATTCATCATTACTGGAGAGTTACAGACTGTTAATTCCTAACCCTTACAGAGAGAGAGAGAGAGAGGCAGAGAGAGAGAGGGAGAGATTGTGTGTGTGATGAGTTATGATTTAGGTAATCTTTACGGCACTCCGGACACGTCCATAGGTGCTCAGATTTTCCCTTCAATATATACATTAGCTTCCTTCTCATGCGTCCAGTGTGCTTCTGGCTGTGCCAATCTTAAATCCCATTTCTTGCACTCTTAGCAAATCTGCTCCCAAAATCCTCTGAATGTCCTTTCTCTCTAATGGCACTAACAATGACTGTATGATCCATGGGCTGTCCCTGTTTAACAAAGGCAGAGCCAGCTAATCTGTCAGCTCTTTATTGCCAACAACACCTGCATGCCCTTGGACAAAGAATGAAAATAACGCTATGCACAGAGGAACTTTCCAATGACTCGATCTGTCTGCATGCAAAGCCCCCTTTATTCCCACCGGAACACGCTCATTTAATCACTCAGCACACACACACATGAGAATAGCCCTGTGACGCAAACCACAAGAAAGCTTGTGTCACCACCATCACCTCCATTGTCATGCTGCTAGTAGTCGTACAGAAGGCACCACTATCCTCTTGGACTGTTCAGCTATGCAGTCAATGCCCATGCACTTGTTTGTCCTCGTACAAAGGACCCATCTGTGTAGATCAGTACATCCGCCTCATCTGAATGTTCACCTATAAGTGTGTGGACCTCTGCAATGACAGCAACTGGATTCTGCTCCCGACAGATCCTATCAAGCATGACAACACAGGAAAAGGTGCAGTTGAGCACCTTGGGGAAAGGTATCCATTCTTCACTGAGGTTGTTGTCTGTAAGACTGCAGGCCTGCATGATATTGTCCTCTACCCTACTGAGCCATGATTTGCCCAATTTTAGCCTGTTGCCCCTTTTCCTAAAAAGAATAATCTGCAGAAGGTGCTACAAATCCCAGCTTATCTTCAGGTATGCATGAGTCCTCCAGATCTTCATCCTATGGTGCATTGTCGGAAAGTCAAGAAGATATCTCATTGCTACACAAGAGGTTTCTATTGTGCACCCCAGAATAATGTGGGGGGGACCTGGAACTCTGAGGTTCCACCACCCTCCCAAAGATGTGGGGGACCTGGAACTCTGAGGTTCCACCACCCTCCCAAAGATGTGGGGGACCTGGAACTCTGAGGTTCCACCAACCTCCCAAAGATGTGGGGGGCCTGGAACTCTGAGGTTCCACCACCCTCCCAAAGATGTGGGGGACCTGGAACTCTGAGGTTCCACCACCCTCCCAAAGATGTGGGGGACCTGGAACTCTGAGGCTCAACCACCCTACCAAAGATGTGGAGGACCCTAAGCCTCAATAATTTTTAAAGAGCAGCATACCTCGCATAAAGGCTTGAGCCCGGTGAGAGCTCCACCTTTCAAACTAATTAGAGAGGGCCCTAGTGTTTTTCTCTTAGTGGCTCCCCTGCCCTTACAATAAATCTTAGGTCAGGTGTGTATCCTAGACATCCCCAAAGAAATCTCAACACTCAGGTGTGTATCCGAGACCCCCACAAAAAATCTCAACACTCAGGTATGTATCCGAGACCCCCACAAAAAATCTCAACACTCAGGTGCGTATCCGAGACCCCCACAAAAAATCTCAACATTCAGGTATGTATCCGAGACCCCCACAAAAAATCTCAACACTCAGGTATGTATCCGAGACCCCCACAAAAAATCTTAACACTCAGGTGTGTATCCGAGACCCCCACAATAAATCTTAACACTCAGGTATGTATCCGAGACCCCCACAAAAAATCTCAACACTCAGGTGTGTATCCGAGACCCCCACAATAAATCTCAACACTCAGGTGTGTATCCGAGACCCCCACAATAAATCTCAACACTCAGGTGTGTATCCGAGACCCCCACAAAAAATCTTAACACTCAGGTATGTATCTGAGACCCCCACAATAAATCTCAACACTCAGGTGTGTATCCGAGACCCCCACAAAAAATCTTAACATTCACGTATGTATCTGAGACACCCACAATAAATCTCAACACTCAGGTATGTATCTGAGACACCCACAATAAATCTCAACACTCAGGTATGTATCTGAGACACCCACAATAAATCTCAACACTCAGGTATGTATCTGAGACACCCACAATAAATCTCAACAGTCAGGTATGTATCTGAGACATCCACAATAAATCTCAACACTCAGGTATGTATTTGAGACACCCACAATAAATCTTAACACTCAGGTATGTATCTGAGACAGCCACAATAAATCTTAACACTCATGTATGTATCTGAGACACCCACAATAAATCTCAACAGTCAGGTATGTATCTGAGACACCAACAATAAATCTCAACACTCAGGTATGTATCTGAGACCCCCACAATAAATCTTAACACTCAGGTATGTATCTGAGACACCCACAATAAATCTCAACACTCAGGTATGTATCTGAGACCCCCACAATAAATCTTAACACTCAGGTATGTATCTGAGACATCCACAATAAATCTTAACACACAGGTATGTATCTGAGACCCCCACAATAAATCTCAACACTCAGGTATGTATCTGAGACCCCCACAATAAATCTCAACAGTCAGGTATGTATCCGAGACCCCCACAATAAATCTCAACAGTCAGGTATGTATCCGAGACCCCCACAATAAATCTCAACAGTCAGGTATGTATCTGAGACACCCACAATAAATCTTAACACTCAGGTATGTATCTGAGACATCCACAATAAATCTTAACACTCAGGTATGTATCTGAGACACCCACAAAAAATCTTAACACTCAGGTATGTATCTGAGACACCCACAATAAATCTTAACACTCAGGTATGTATCTGAGACACACACAATAAATCTCAACAGTCAGGTATGTATCTGAGACCCCCACAATAAATCTCAACAGTCAGGTATGTATCCGAGACCCCCACAATAAATCTTAACACTCAGGTATGTATCTGAGACAGCCACAATAAATCTTAACACTCAGGTATGTATCTGAGACATCCACAATAAATCTTAACACTCAGGTATGTATCTGAGACATCCACAATAAATCTTAACACTCAGGTATGTATCTGAGACACCCACAATAAATCTTAACACTCAGGTATGTATCTGAGACACCCACAATAAATCTTAACACTCAGGTATGTATCTGAGACACCCACAATAAATCTCAACAGTCAGGTATGTATCTGAGACCCCCACAATAAATCTCAACAGTCAGGTATGTATCTGAGACCCCCACAATAAATCTTAACACTCAGGTATGTATCTGAGATCCCCACAATAAATCTCAACACTCAGGTATGTATCTGAGACATCCATAATAAATCTTAACACTCAGGTATGTATCTGAGACACCCACAATAAATCTTAACACTCAGGTATGTATCTGAGACACCCACAATAAATCTTAACACTCAGGTATGTATCTGAGATCCCCACAATAAATCTCAACACTCAGGTATGTATCTGAGACATCCATAATAAATCTCAACATTCAGGTATGTATCTGAGACATCCACAATAAATCTTAACACTCAGGTGTGTATCTGAGACATCCACAATAAATCTTAACACTCAGGTGTGTATCTGAGACATCCACAATAAATCTTAACACTCAGGTGTGTATCTGAGACATCCACAATAAATCTTAACACTCAGGTATGTATCTGAGACACCCACAATAAATCTTAACACTCAGGTATGTATCTGAGACATCCACAATAAATCTCAACACTCAGGTATGTATCTGAGACATCCACAATAAATCTTAACACTCAGGTATGTATCTGAGACATCCACAATAAATCTCAACACTCAGGTATGTATCTGAGACATCCACAATAAATCTTAACACTCAGGTATGTATCTGAGACATTCATAATAAATCTTAACACTCAGGTATGTATCCGAGACATCCACAATAAATCTCAACACTCAGGTATGTATCCCAGACCCCACAACAAATCTTACCATGAAGGTATGTATCCAAGACATCCACAATAAATCTCAACAAGTGAACTCAACAACCATGTGCAAAAAGTGCACTCACCAACAACACTGACCTATAACAAGTGCACTCACCACAACACTGACCTATAACAAGTGCACTCACCAACAACACTGACCTATAACAAGTGCACTCACCAACAACACGATCTATAACAAGTGCACTCACCAACACAGTTGTTAACCCAGGGACAGTGATGGTCAAACTTGGCCACACAACGGTTACACACGGAGCAGTGTTTGGATCTCAGTGGTTTGCGGATGAGGCAGGTGCTGCAGAACTGCTCCAGGCGTAGGCTCTGTGTCTCCGCCAGCTCCAGGATCGTCTGTAGACACAAACTTTTAGTAGCTTCAGGACAGAAATCTGACAATACAGCAACATGTCTGCTTGTTCCAATGTGAATGTTCATTACACTGTTACTGGTGGAGGTATTTCTCAAGACTAAATTCATCAATAACAGCCCCCCCCCCCCCCCACACCCTTCTGCCCCAATACAAACAACTGTAAAACTGGATTACCTTCTGATAACTTCCAAACATGGCAATGTCTCTTTGAAATGCCCAACGAACCAAGCGACTGACTGACCAAACCTTTATAAGTCCATCCATAAATCCATCTGTCCATCCATTAAATCCTGTAAACCCTGTTATTTTCCTACTTATATGCCTGTTTCCCACACCCTTATGTGTTCCTGCTTGACCCAAGGGACTGGTGATCTCTATGGTTAACTTGTTGTTGTGTGGATCAAGATGCAGTTGGATCTGGGTAGTAGTCCACACCGGCTACTTAACGTGTTTATACTGTTGGGATGCTGACCAAAACATACTTGGTAGTTCGTGTGAGTCTACACCCGTTACAAAACCTATCCAGTGTGCTGGTGTGCTGCCGGGTCATTGGTGACACTGTGTAGTGGTCAAGACTGGCTGCCAGGCTTGTCCATGTGCTGTGGTGCTCACCGGGACTCGAGAGGATGCTGTGTGAGTCTGAGCTGTGCACCTGACCTGACCTGTCCCTGTGGGGCGTGTGCTGACCACGCTGCTGTTTGGCGCTCTGTAGGGAGTGACAGTCTGTGCCGGTTGCCTGACCTGTCCCTGTGGGGCATGTGTGGACCACGTTGCTGTTTGGCGCTCTGTGGGAGTGACAGTCTGTGCCGGTTGCCTGGCCTGACCCTGTGGGGTGTGTGCGGACCACATTGCTGTTTGGCGCTCTGTGGGAGTGACAGTCTGTGCCCGTTGCCTGACCTGACCCTGTGGGGCGTGTGCGGACCACGTTGCTGTTTGGCGCTCTGTGGAAGTGACAGTCTGTGCCGGTTGCCTGACCTGACCCTGTGGGGTGTGTGCGGACCACATTGCTGTTTGGCGCTCTGTGGGAGTGACAGTCTGTGCCCGTTGCCTGACCTGACCCTGTGGGGCGTGTGCAGACCACGTTGCTGTTTGGCGCTCTGTGGGAATGACAGTCTGTGCCGGTTGCCTGACCTGACCCTGTGGGGCGTGTGCAGACCACGTTGCTGTTTGGCGCTCTGTGGGAGTGACAGTCTGTGCCGGTTGCCTGACCTGACCCTGTGGGGTGTGTGCGGACCACGTTGCTGTTTGGCGCTCTGTGGGAGTGACAGTCTGTGCCGGTTGCCTGACCTGACCCTGTGGGGCGTGTGTAGACCACGTTGCTGTTTGGTGCTCTGTGGGAGTGACAGTCTGTGCCGGTTTCCTGACCTGTTTGTGCTCTTGATATGTTCACCACTTCACTCTACAGTGATGCTGTTTGACTCAGCCATTGCATACTATTTTAAACTTTGTTAATTACACTTGCATGCATGTTACTGTCCAGTGTGTCTTAGTCAAGTACGAATTTTAATTGACTGATCATATTGACCAAATCTTTGTTGTTTATGTATTCATCATTCACGAGACTAGACAGTTGCCAAGATACTTTGCGTAAGTGCTGCAGTGTGTGAGCAACAACTTAATCCTATCTATAGCAAACAGACATTTACTGGGTGCTGTTTGCTGGGGAAACTGTTGTGTGCTGAACTCACTTTGCTTTTCAAATGTACCAGAGGTCAGAGGCATGATCGCCTACGCTAGTCGTCAAAATACTATATGATGATGATGACCAGGGGTACTTATCATGTACAGTGTCATGTCAGGGGTATTCATGTCATGGCTTGAGTACTTGTGTCATGTCTGGGGTACTTGTATCCTATTCAGTGTCATGTCTGGGGTACTCATGTCATGTCTGGGGTACTTCGGTCAAGTAGTGTCATGTCTGGGGTACTTATCCTTTATGTCATGTCTGGGGTACTCATGTCATGTCTAGGGTACTTGTGTCATGCAGTTTTATGTCTTGGGTACTTGTATCTTATACAGCGTCATGTCTACGGTATTTATGTCATGTCTGGGGTACTTGTGTAATGAAGTGCATGTCTGGAGTACTTGAGTCATAAAGAGTGTCATGTCTGGGGTACTTGAGTCATAAAGAGTGTCATGTCTGGGGTACTTGTGTCATGTAGAGTGTCATGTCTGGGGTACTTGTGTCATGTAGAGTGTCATGTCTGGGGTACTTGTATCATGTACAATGTCATGTCTGGGGTACTTGTGTCATGTAGGGTGTCATGTCTGGGGTACTTGTGTCATGTATAGTGTCATGTCTGGGGTACTTGTGTCATGTACAATGTCATGTCTGGGGTACTTGTGTCATGTACAATGTCATGTCTGGGATACATGTGTCATGTACAATGTCATGTTTGGGGTACTTGTGTAATGCAGTGCCATGTCTGGGGTACTTGTGTAATGAAGTGCATATCTGGAGTACTTGTGACATTACAGTGTCATGTCTGGGGTACTTGTGTCATGTAGAGTGTCATGTCCGGGGTACTTGTGTCATGTACAATGTCATGTCTGGGATACCTGTGTCATGTACAATGTCATGTTTGGGGTACTTGTGTCATGTACAACGTCATGTCTGGGGTACCTGTGTAATGTAGTGTCATGTTTGGGGTACTTGTGTCATGTACAACGTCATGTCTGGGGTACTTGTGTAATGTAGTGTCATGTCCGGGGTACTTGTGTCATGTACAATGTCATGTCTGGGGTACTTGTGTCATGTACAATGTCATGTCTGGGGTACTTGTGTAATGTAGTGTCATGTTTGGGGTATTTGTGTCATGTCTGGGGTACTTGTGTAATGAAGTGCATGTCTGGAGTACTTGAGTCATGAAGAGTGTCATGTCTGGGGTACTTGTGTCATGTACATTGTCATGTCTGGGGTACTTGTGTAATGTAGTGTCATGTCTAGGGTACTCGTGTCATGTCTGGGGTACTCGTGTCATGGATAGTGTCATGTTGGGGATACTTGTGCCATGTAGAGCGTCATGTCTGGGGACCTTGTATCATGTCTGGGGTACTCATGTCATGTCTAGGGTACTCGTGTCTCATGTACAATGTCACGTCTGGAGTATTTTTGTCATGTACAGTGTCATGTCTGGGGTACTTGTGTCATGTAGAGTGTCATGTCTGGGGTACTTGTGTCATGTCTGGGGTACTTGTGTAATGTAGTGTCATGTCTGGGGCACTCGTGTCATGTACAGTGTCATGTCGGGGATACTTGTGCCATGTAGAGTGTCATGTCTTGCAATCTCGTGTCATGTCTGGGGTACTCATGTCATGTCTAGGGTACTCGTGTCTTATGTACAATGTCATGTCTGGGGTACTTGTGTGTTGTACATTGTCATGTCTGGGGTACTTGTTTCATGTACATTGTCATGTCTGGGGTACTTGTGTCATTTACATTGTCATGTCATGTACATTGCACTATAACTAGCAGAAAAGCAAATGTGACCAGATAAAACTCTGTGAACAGCACCAAGGGAAGAAAAGAATGACAGGAAGAGATTACCTTGACCTTGTCTTCTCTGCTGCTTTTGAGGTAGCCAGGATCGGTCTGCCAGCACTTGTAAAAGTTGTAGGTCAGCAGCACCGAGTTGACCACAAATACAACCTGCACCAGCGGGTCCGCTCCAACATCTGATGGCAGCCGGTTAAGGTCAGCATGGTTTGTTTCTCATTACAGGTGAAAGTACAAATAATGAATGTTGGAACCCACCAAGATATGTTGGATGTTAACAAGACAATGAATTGTTGGAATATGACAAATATATACAAATTTACACTAAGATAATACATACGTACATATGAACACACGTGCACACACACATGTATATACACACACACATACATAGTACAGATTGTCAGCAGCCTGTGTGGCTTTAGAGAGATGGAGGGTGATGATAGTCACAGACCGATACGTACTGACAGGATCGTGGACACGTCTATGCCGCCTTCGTAGCTGAGACAGGAGACAACATAAACTTCTCATGGACAACAATCAGTTGAAGTACCTTGGAGTGGCTGCTGCATCGGAGGACTGAGCATGCATGGGAATGCCCAATGTGCAGTGACATCAACTGTGATAACATAACATCACAAACACATACAGACAGTGACCGGACAGCATGAACCGGGCAGCCACCACTGCACAGCATTAACCGGGCAGCCACCCAAGCGACATCTATGGGGGACTTGCGGGCGCAAAACTGAGTGACCGGGAAAACAAAAAGGAGTAGGTGAACAGGTTTCAGGGGACCATGAGGATATAGCAGATGATGACAAAACAGGACATGACGTGTTTTGACCGCTAGCTTTTCATAGTTGATTTAGTTTAGAGACGTAGCATGGTTAAGCATGAAGTGTTTAGTCTGTGAGAATGTGCTAGTTTGACGGTATTAAAACTGAAGTGTTCAGCAGTGCAGCATCGTATGTTTTGTAAAGATAGTCCAGTGTGATTAGTGATATCTGAAGTACTGTTAACTTGATTATGAATCAGTGTCTCAGTGAGGTGGTTCACAAAGGGGATTTTGTCAGTCAAGAAGAAGAGAAGAATATGGGCATGGTACCCAGGCAACTCAGCCCAGTGACGTGGTTTGTCTGATCACACTATCCAATGTCATGCAGTAACACCACCGTCGCAGTGTAGGTTGCAGAGGCGCAGTGTAGGTTGCAGAGGCGCAGTGACGTGGTCTGTCTGATCAGACTAGCCAGATTCGTGCAGTAGCACCGCGGTCGCAGTGTAAGTTGCAGAGGAGCAGTGTAAGTTGCAGAGGCGCAGTGACGTGGTCTGTCTGATCAGACTAGCCAGATTTGTGCAGTAGCACCGCGGTCGCAGTGTAGGTTGCAGAGGCGCAGTGTAGGTTGCAGAGGCGCAGTGTAAGTTGCAGAGGCGCAGTGTAAGTTGCAGAGGCGCAGTGACGTGGTCTGTCTGATCAGACTAGCCAGATTTGTGCAGTAGCACCGCGGTCGCAGTGTAAGTTGCAGAGGAGCAGTGTAGGTTGCAGAGGCGCAGTGTAAGTTGCAGAGGAGCAGTGACGTGGTCTGTCTGATCAGACTAGCCAGATTCGTGCAGTAGCACCGCGGTCGCAGTGTAAGTTGCAGAGGAGCAGTGTAAGTTGCAGAGGCGCAGTGACGTGGTCTGTCTGATCAGACTAGCCAGATTTGTGCAGTAGCACCGCGGTCGCAGTGTAGGTTGCAGAGGCGCAGTGTAGGTTGCAGAGGCGCAGTGTAAGTTGCAGAGGCGCAGTGTAAGTTGCAGAGGCGCAGTGACGTGGTCTGTCTGATCAGACTAGCCAGATTTGTGCAGTAGCACCACGGTCGCAGTGTAAGTTGCAGAGGAGCAGTGTAGGTTGCAGAGGCGCAGTATAAGTTGCAGAGGAGCAGTGATGTGGTCTGTCTGATCAGACTAGCCAGATTTGTGCAGTAGCACCGCGGTCGCAGTGTAAGTTGCAGAGGCGCAGTGACGTGGTCTGTCTGATCAGACTAGCCAGATTTGTGCAGTAGTACCGCGGTCGCAGTGTAAGTTGCAGAGGCGCAGTGACGTGGTCTGTCTGATCAGACTAGCCAGATTTGTGCAGTAGCATCGCGGTCGCAATGTAAGTTGCAGAGGCGCAGTGACGTGGTCTGTCTGATCAGACTAGCCAGATTTGTGCAGTAGCACCGCGGTCGCAGTGTAGGTTGCTGGTTTGTACCCGGCTGATGCCTGGAAACAACCTAAGCCTAAAGTGTGAGCGGCCATTTCAAAGCCTATTATTTTGTGTAATTACTTAAAGGCTGATGTGTATGCTCTGAGAGTGTGGGGTCAGTTGTGTCTGAGAGTGTGGGGTCAGTTGTGTCTGAGAGTGTGGGGTCAGTTGTGTCTGAGAGTGTGGGGTCAGTTGTGTCTGAGAGTGTGGGGTCAGTTGTGTCTGAGAGTGTGGGGTTAGTTGTGTCTGACAGTGTGGGGTCAGTTCGGGTTTGAGAGCGTGGTGGTCAGTTGTGTCATGAGAGTGTGGGGTAGTTGTGTCTGACAGTGTGGGGTCAGTTGTGTCTGAGAGTGTGGGGTTAGTTGTGTCTGACAGTGTGGGGTCAGTTGTGTCTGAGAGTGTGGGGTCAGTTGTGTCTGAGAGTGTGGGGTCAGTTGTGTCTGAGAGTGTGGGGTCAGTTGTGTCTGAGAGTGTGGGGTCAGTTGTGTCTGAGAGTGTGGGGTCAGTTGTGTCTGAGAGTGTGGGGTCAGTTGTGTCTGAGAGTGTTGGGGGTCAGTTGTGTCTGAGAGTGTGTGGGTGGGTTAGTTGTGTCTGAGAGTGTGAGGGTCAGTTGTGTCTGAGTGTGGGGAGTTGTGTCTGAGAGTGTTGGGTCAGTTGTGTCTGAGAGTGTGGGGGGTAGTTGTGTCTGAGAGTGTGGGGTTAGTTGTGTCTGAGAGTGTGGGGTCAGTTGTGTCTGAGAGTGTGGGGTCAGTTGTGTCTGAGAGTGTGGGTGGGTCAGTTGTGTCTGAGAGTGTTGGGGTCAGTTGTGTCTGAGAGTGTTGGGTCAGTTGTGTCTGAGAGTGTTGGTCAGTTTGTGTCAGAGTGTGGGGTCAGTTGTGTCTGAGAGTGTTGGGGTTAGTTGTGTCTGAGAGTGTGGGGTCAGTTGTGTCTGACAGTGTGGGGTCAGTTGTGTCTGTCTGGGGTCAGTGTGTCTGAGAGTGTTGGGTTAGTTGTGTCTGAGAGTGTGGGGTCAGTTGTGTCTGAGAGTGTGGGGTCAGTTGTGTCTGAGAGTGTGGGGTCAGTTGTGTCTGAGAGTGTGGGGTCAGTTGTGTCTGAGAGTGTGGGGTCAGTTGTGTCTGACAGTGTGGGGTCAGTTGTGTCTGAGAGTGTGGGGTCAGTTGTGTCTGAGAGTGTGGGGTCAGTTGTGTCTGAGAGTGTGGGGTTAGTTGTGTCTCTGTCATGGAGCTGCCAATAAGCCATTGCTTGTAAGGCAGTAAGCAGCTCTATGACATACATACAAACTCATGCATGCACACACACACAGAGACAGGCAGACATACACCTGCACACATATTCATATATTTGTGCGCGTGGGCGCACAGGCAATAAGTAGATTAACAAAAGAGTCTGGAAGAACAGAAAGGGCAAAGTTAAAACAAAAACCACTGTCTATCAGGTTAGTGTTTTCAGCAGTTTTCTGTCTATCAGGTTAGTGTTTTCAGCCCTCTTCTGTCTATCAGTCAGGCTTGTGTTTTCAGCACTCTTCTGTCTATCAGGCTTGTGTTTTCAGTACTCTTCTATCA